TGCAGCACGTAACCACAAGTGTTATTCAATTGCCTGATTCATGATTCGTCCATCCAACTGAAGTTGGGTCAGGTTGGATTGATGCGCATCATCACGTCCCAAAGATCGTTTAACGCCTCGTAGATGGACAACTTGACGGTGAATATGCGTAAAACGTTGTAATCGTATGTGCGCCATTTTGGTAGACAAAAGTGCATGTTAATGACAGACGCAGGCGCCGCAAAAGGAACGGGCACGAGTGCCTGTTAAAGCACACCCTGGAATGGCGCCTGTGGTGGTAACAGCTTTTTGTCAGAGTTCTCCATCTGCTCCGCTATGCGGCGCTATACGGTATTTGTTACGAATTGCATATGTACGAGAGAAACCTTTTCCTTGAACACCATCTACAAGATAAGTACGCGTAACGTTCTCCAAGCTACATCATCTTTGTCAATACGTGGCATTACCAGTAGTGCATGTGGATACGCTGTGGTGAACTTCGGGAGTCGAATTAATTAGTTACAATAAGGATCGGTTCATCTAGATAGAAATTAGAATGGATAACAACGGAATGCCACCCCCTGTCGATCAGATCTATTCTGATATAGCCACAACAGGTAGGTCCACATACCGGCAGCTAGCCGAGTGAGCATGGTGAGAGTGAGAGGCAAAACTTCCTCATGACATTCGATGATGGGCCTCGCGCGTACCCAGAACTGTTTTGGCAGGGATCCGCCGCGCGCCGCGGTAGACGACGGACCCCTAGCCTGCCACAACTGAGGGTAGGCCTATAGTTATGCTATGGTATAGGGGCTCGGGCAAGCCGTGCAATCATGGAAAGTCATGTCATCAGACGTGAAGCTAGACCACTGACGCGACATGACTCACAAAGGTTATCATGGTTATTACGGCTCAAAATGATGATCATCTGATCATGAACATGTTCATCATCTGGTCATGCTGGTCATCTAGCAATGTTTAGTCCATAATTCTTAATCTTCCATATTGTACATTTTAAATGTATATGGACAATGACAGGTATCAAGAACACTGTAAAGCGAACCAAAATTGACTTAGGGCGTAGGGCCTATTTTCATTTTACATTACATGTACTCCACTCATTAGATGGTAAACTTAAATTAAATGTTGCCTGGGAAAACTGAAAAGCTTGAGGCCTGGGCCTGGACTAGTTTTTTTGGTTTTTTTCCTTCTCGTCAAATTGGAAGGGGATTTTATTTTGCGTCAAATGGGAAGGGGCCAATAAGTTGTTGAACCCCCCTTTGACATCTCTAACTGCTATTATGGCTACAGGTACATGCTGTAGTAAACAGTGTTACAAACGTTACACTAGGATGGGAGTGAGTTGTCATTTGGGACAGTGGGGGGGGAGAATGCTCAAGATGAGTTCTGGGCTTTTACCAATTTTTATATTTGAAGGTTTGGAAAGAGTTTCATTTCTGGCCACCACCTTAGTCATGTTAGTCTAGACCTTGTGCACCAACTCTATGGGCCGATTGGAAACTGTGTATTGGTATTTTCCAAGAAATTTTAAACATTTTTCACCCCTAAATTGTGCATGCTCATCAGATGCAAGTCATAGTGAGGACGATACATAAATGTAAATGTATGGTAAGTGGTGGCTGGATACGGAACACTTTCCGAATATTCACCGTATGTAGAACTGGTACATGTAGTACAGTGTACACGTACATGTACTCTAGGATTCTGAGAATGTGTACATGTCAGAATTGCCTTATTTGTAATTATCAGATCAATTTGCCGACATGTACATTTACATAAACAATATTAATTTTAATATAATGTAATAATACATGTACAATTCAACCTGCGGGTTGCAAGAAAGTCGAAATAAACCAATGCACATGTAATAATTTATAATATTAATGAATGTAGTGTACGATGTTACTGGGCTAAGTATCGGCACCTGTACCTCCATGTACCGGGCCTTATCATGCAGATGCTTAACTTGGAGTAACCAACAAGGCCAGTGCAGGAGGTGGACATGTGTATTTTGCCATCAGGCACACAATTTAATGCATATGTTACGCCCCAACTATAGCATCAGTCCCAACTATAGTTGGGCCCGTCCCAACTACAGCAGAGAGGTCCTGTGTGCATGATGTGCCCAGCATGTGCCAAAGTCATATTGTTTACAAATGTCATGTCATTGGTCATAGGGCTAGATGAACAGATGAAGTGCCACATTTTAGATGAATTGTGTCAAGTGTGAGACACATTGACTTGGGTAATGTTGAGACATTTCCCACAGGCATTGGTCAACAATAGTTGGGCCAGCCCAACTGCAGCACTACAGTTGGAACTGTCCCAACTATAGTTGGGACTTATGCTATAGTTGGAGGCGTAACACACATCTGTACAGTGTACATGTACATGTGCATTGATAATATTTAAAAGGACATGTACCTTGTACATACCAGAACACGTACATGTGCCAGTATACCTTCTCAAGAGCAATGCTCTTCTATGTTTGGGTGTTTTTCCCTTTTTTCTACCAAGTACACATGTACATGTGCATGCATGACATGTTGCGAAAATATGTTTTCATGCACCTCTAGTTGAAATCCTTAGAAAACCCTGCACCCTTGTGTGGACCTGTCTTACTCCACACAAGGTTCATACTACGGTACACATGTACATGTTTCTTAGGTCCACATGCACATATATATACATGTACACCTACACGTACATGTGCTGGTACATGCTATACATGTACATGTACGTGTTTAAATGTTTGTACTGATACATGTAGGTACCGTATGTTTGTAAACACAATGAATGGGAAATCGACAGGAAGAACCACTTCCTAAATTTCTTCCAAGTCTCTACTTTGACAAAGACAGGAAGTACATGTACACACACTGATTTCAGGGATTGGTTTGAGGCCCTGTGTGGCTATATACAGCAAATGTGTGGTACCCTTAGGAAAGGATCAGGAATGAGTAATAAAAACAGAAAGACATCAGTCTGCTTGTCTTCACTGAGTTCAGGATGCTCCACAGCTGGGTGTCCATCAAATATCATTGGACCTTTCATACCGTCAACTGTGTACAATGTGTGTACTGCAGGTGGACACATTTTCCTCACACTTTTAGTGCTTGTATACATGTACATGTACATGTACATCCCTGTCTGGATGGCTTGCAATTTTCACTCTTACAAGTTCAATTGCAAAAGAAAGCTGGATTGACGTAACTTGTACAGAAAGGTGCAGCGTACCAATGTGATAAAGGAGAGGATTGTGAATGCTTGCGTGTACATGCACACCAATGTACACTGTACATTGTATGTTCTGATATCCTGTATTGACCAAGGAACAGGGAACATGTGCACAAGTACATGAGTATGCACCCTACATGTACATGTACCGGTACTTATAAATAAAAAATAATTTGAAGTTGAATGTTGCCACTGGAAATAATGGAATCAGACAAAGCAAGTGAAGAGGATCACCTCTACTATTCTTTGGACGGTGAGTAGAGTGTACATTGTACACATATCCGTGTGTATATTATGCCAGTATAAATTTCTGAAATACATGTACATGTACCATGCAACAGCTGCATGTAGGAAGTCATGTGTGAAGATCCTTTTCAACATGACTGTACAAGATACATGTACATGTAGGAATACTGCACATGTACATACATGTACATGTACCTGTATACATATACGGTATTTGGTTTTTTTTTTGCAAAACATGTTGCCTCTTTTGCAATATGACGTCACATACATACATGTACATGCTAGCCGAATATTGATAAAATGAGTGGGTGTACGTTAACCCTTGTGCACATGATTCTACCCACACAATATGTTGTAGTTAATGGCCTTTTATAGATGTAATTTCGTTGATTGAAAATACTAAACTAGGGCCATGCAAAATACACAACTTGATTCTTGTACTGTCAGGGCTTCTTTTCAGCTGTTTAAATCAGCAATTTTGCAGTACAGCAGCTGAGTTACTGCATGGAGACTATTCCTCAATGGCACGTGTACATGTTCCATTTTGATTTAAGCACTGCTACATGCTTTGAGCGTTACCAGTTTTGTGGCTCCTTAAGGTCTGAATAATTTCTAAATGAAAGGCTTACATGTAATTGTGTGTGTTCGCCTTCAAATTCCGTTGTTCGATGTGATGCACATACATGTACATGTACAATGTACATACACTGTACATGTACATGTACTGTACAGTGTACATGTACATGGTCATGTGTGCTGTTTGACCTTTATTGTTAACAGGTTAAGCAAGGAATACGCTTTGTTGCCTTGTACTTAAAAAATGAAGTGGCAGGTTTTAACAGCGACTGAACAACAAACAGTAATTATTTTTTGATTCCTCAAAATGATTTCCAGATTGTGCATGCATGCAACTACATGTAAACATGTATACGTGTCCAATATTCAAATACCAGTACAGCCAGACGAGGCCTTGAAATATTTACATATGGCAGGCCTTGTGCGTGTATTGTTCAATATTTGTACAGGATTCCAAATGAGTCAGTTGTGTTAGGTGATGGTGTTCCTCTAGTGTTAACCCCACAGATGACGTAAGTGCATTTGGATCAATGTACATGTACATGTACATGTACGTACTTGGAAACTCTCATTCTCAACACATGTACATGGAGAATCATCTGGAAATAATACATATCCAGTGCACGTGAGTAACAAATGCTGCCTACAATAAATGGGAGTTCATGCAGTGCCTCTACAGCTTGATTGAGTCTTGATGTGCTGAAAATGGATTCATACATGTGTAAATGTCTCCTTGAGCTGCTGCAGCATCTTCCTGTGATTTCCATGATGGTTACACTCTTCTGCTTTCAGCATGTTCAGTGTGACAGCTGTGCTGTGTACGTACAATCAACAACAGCAGGGAGGAATACAGCGACTGCAAACGTGGCAAAAGTTTAAAGTGGCACCTTTCTACCTCACTTCGTGGAATGGTTTACCCAGGATAAAGAAGAAATAAATTAAATTAAATTCGTGCATGTCACTCACTATTAACCTACGTATTGCGCACATGTACATATATACATGTACTGGTACATGTACATATACAAAATGGTTCAGTCACATCAAACCAAGTGCTAGCCGGCTTCTACCGGTACTTGCCTCTGACTGTAATTGACGCAGATGGACAAAATTGTAGTGCTGACACTGCCACAAAGTAATGATGAACTCTCCCAAAGGAAAAGTAGGAAATGAACAGAGGTATGGTACATGCACTTGTATCCGTGAAGAATGTACATGGAAGAGTAATAATTGATACAAGTTGGATGCATGGGTCTACACTGAATTGATTTGGCTAGATGTTTGGTGGACATTTAAATTTGGTTGATTGTCCAAACTATGAACCCACTGCAAATGCAATCATATGATAACAGAGATGGCCGGGTCATAGTTCACTTTCTGGAAGCCTTGTTGAGTGTTTGGACTCTTCTTCGACACCCCCTTAAGCACACATTACTTGTACATGTCTGTGGTTGGCGGTAATGATCCCAGATGAACACAATATTGCACTGTTAGAGGGATTACTACAGCCTTTGAAAGCTGAGGAGTTTGGATTTCTTGGTGCCAGTTTGTGCTCTGCTTCATATGACTCTGTTTATCAGCTGAGGTTTTTGCAGTGGTTAGCAAAGTATCCATGAAAAACAGCCAGCCGTTCCACATACATGCAGCTATAAGCTGGTCAGAATAACTCTCAGCATTTTCTTTAAAAAGGCCATTCCAGCCTTGCATTGAAATTTCTGTAAATAGATGGAACTCATGCCTGGAATGCCATTGTATCAGGACAAAAGGATATTACACACATTGCTGTGGTTTCAGTCTGATGCTTGAAGACAGGAAGCTAGTACTACAACCACAGTTTGGAAAGTCACTCATCCATCATTTTCAACAGGCTTCTACAGCACTTGTAGCAGTGTTCAGATTGCCTGGCTGTGCCATTGTAAACGTATGTACCGGTATGTTGAGATTGGTTTCTTAAGACTTGGACAGGTACATTGTCTTGGAGAAACAGAACTTCCTCAGTTGGTGTCACTGGATGTTTCATTTGCGCCACGCACCAGGACCAGTTCATGACCACAACATGTGAATGGAGAGCAACTCTGCATACAATCCAGCAAAATTTTATGTGAACTTGAAGAGAAAACAGTGGCAACTGTTACTTTCCACCTACTGGTACCGGTACATGTGCATGCACTCGGTTTGTTAAGCTTGGTTACGAAAAATACCGGTAGATTTGTCCCACAGTCACAGTCACAGGATTAGATTGCCACAGAAGAGAGCAGTTGTTGAAACAATCATCGCAGAGCGGAATTTCTCTTCGTCAGCTTTTTGACACTGTCCAGCAAACTTTCATTCAACGGTGAAGCAGCACTTAATTTAAAAAAATATCATTCAAGGTATTTTCACATCGCTTGTTACTTTTTGTCTGCATTTTTTATACAAAGTGAGTAGGCCTTGTAGACCTGATTAATTTCAGTGGATTCTGTATAGCCTTTTGGACAATATCAAATTCCCAACCATGAATCATCTGAGTAGGAAGAAGGCATCGCACACCCCAACCAGTAACAAGCCCAGGCCACAGTCCACCTCAGACACTGACCCTCAGGCTTCAGCTAGTGCTGATGAAAAGCTGCTCTACATTAATGAGAGCCTTCAGTCCTTCGTTGCAGAAGAGGAAGGCTATGGCTCAGTGGATGAGCGTGAACTAACTGATGATTACAAATCACCGCTGGAGGGGGCACCGAGTTATCACTCATATCTCAGCATCGTTCCTGACTATGGAGTTGATGAGGATGATGGGGGCGGAGTTTATCCAAAATCAGGTGGAACAACCTTTGTGTGTTTTTGTGTTGTATTTGTATCGTACTGATTTTGCTGTCTAGTCTAGTGAGCGTACATGTACATGTGTACCATTACTACAGATGTACACTACCGGTACATGTACATGTACATGTATACATGTACATATCTTGTACAGTATACAATGCGCTGTGCACTGCACCGATACATGTATGATGTACATGTAGTTGTGCCAACATCGAGTACACTGTACACGGACATGTACAGGTGTATATATTCGTACACGTGTATGTACATGTACTAAGTGTACCATGTAGTCATTTTCTATGTACCGGTACATGGACGTGTACATGTACATGTATGTACGATAGGTTGTGTACATGTACATGTAAAGAACACTAGCCTGACTATATAAGCTTACTAATTGTTTTCACTGTGTATATTTAGATGCATAAATGTACATGTACAGTACTTACATGTGCGCACATACATGAACTGGTACATGTATGTACATGTACAATATACCGGTATACATGTACACGTACATGTACGTACATTGTACGTGTATATAACCACTGAGCCACTGGTATACAACATGTATATATTATAGGAACACATTTTGCCGTGTTTGTTTTAATACATGTACATTATGAACAGGTACAGTGTACATGTACAACTGTATACTTACATGCATGTGGTTCAACAATAATGTATATAATGTACGTACGTGTATATGTGCATGTACTAGTCATGGGTAAATTGAGCAGCGCAATGAGCAGGTGCATGTACACGTACATGCTAAGTGTCTACATTGTGTACAATGTACATGTACATGTACATGTATGAATGCTAAATCATGCATCCATAACATACACGTATCGTCAGGACATGCATGATTGTATTGTTCACAAACAGTGTACATATATAGTGTACAGGTACTTACATGTACATGTTGTGTGAAAATGGAAAATGTATGGGTGTTTCTATGATTTCTCAATGTACAAAAGGCCTAATAAAGAATCCTTTTTTCAGAAACATGGCACAGTACATACATGTGCATGTAGTACAATGTGTACCTCTTACCATGCATACCATGCATACATTACAGGCTGAGCATTTGTAGTAATTAGCATGCATGATTTTCAGCTGAATTGAATAATATGGACACCAGGCTTTCCACAAAATGCACAATGTTAAAAATGGTAAATGTAACCGAAGTTGTGTTACTTATTTCCAAGTTAACCATGTAAACATCCTGTAAGAAGCCTTTTTGCTGTTTACTTGTCATTTCTATAGAAGAGCCCCTGTCCTCCCCAGACTCAACACCGCTGTACGATAACACACCGGCCAGCACCCCTAGCGACTTGCCAAGCCCTGGGGTCGAGATTGAAAGGGATGAAGTGGAACGGGAGAGACTGCGATCAGAACTGGCTGAGGTACATGTACACATGTAGTGTAATCTGGTTAGGAGAAAGTGTTGGCCTTGAAGTACACAACATGTTTTGACCCAAACTTTTGAAAACTGTACAGGTGTAAATTGAAGCCTGCATTTACAAATGTGCATGTGCATACACACAGAGTGCATGTTTCTAGAATAGAGTACCGAAGTGTGACGTCACTGTGAACCGGAAAGTGCAGTGCAAACAAATGGAGTACGCGCGCGTGTTGGTTCACGCGCTGGTTCTTGCGCTAATGCCTTTTACACACTAATTGTGCGCGTGACGTATTCACTTCGGTACCCCACATGTACGGTATATATGCAGAAACTAGTTTTGCTCTTATCAGAAAACACTATGCCATTTACTAGTGTGTACGTGTACATTGTATGATGCATACATGTACATGAAGTGCCCTGATCAACTGCCAAGGCCGAGGGCAGATGAGTACAGACACCTCTACCGCTGCAGATCCACATTTAAAAAAAAGCAGTGGAAGACCTCATTTGCGTCATTTTTCACACCATAAGGGATGCATGCATTGCCAGGCCTGGAAATGACATTTTATCAGTGCTGTCTCAGTGATGACTAGACACAGTTGTGTTTCTCCCTTCTGTCTCAAGGTTGAGAGTGACATCCTGACACTAAGGCAGACTCTACGAGCCAAGGAGACCCACGCCAAGGAGATCAAACGAAAGCTGGGCATAACTCCTATCAACCAGATGAAGGAAGACTTCAAACATGGCTGGCAAAATTTCCAGCAATCCAATGCGTAAGTCAACATCATTTACCTCGGCTGGTTAAAAAAAAAAGGCAAACTAAATTTCCAAAGTACACGTACATGTACCTACTGTATCAAAAAAAGAAATGCATCAGACAGAACAAAAACAGTCACTTTCATTCCCTCCAAAAGACCAACTTGACCCTGTGGACATTGATTTCAATAGTTTGAAATAAGCAAACAAATATTTACTAGCATAGTGTGAATGAGACAAAATGTTTAGATTACTGTTAAAAAATAACCCAAGAAAGGCATTTGTACGTGTAGCATATCAACCAAATGTACATTAATTAACCCTCCTATGCTGAAGTCACTCTTTGGGTCACTTGGTAAACACCTCAAAGATGCACAGCTGTGTTGTGTTGTGCACTGCACCAACATGCAAGAGAGTGACCTTGGGCACTTGTGCATATTTGTGCTGTAAAACTAAAGGAGGGTTAAGTCATACACACGTATCACATTTGGTACGTGTGTACATGTATGTAGGGAAAATTTAATCCTCAAACTCATCACAGTCCACAGATTTGATTCAGATATTAAACAATTTTGTATACACCACAAATAGGCACTGGTGTAGTGTACAGTATACAAAATCCTGTATCATTTTAACTGTGTCTTCATACTAAATTTCCTGAACAGTGTTGTGTACCGGTACATGTTCATGTGTGAGTCGTACATGTATATATCTCATGTTCAAGCTCATTTTACCTTCGATGTGGCTGTCCATGACGTGCACGTTATGAACATGTATACTGTATACTGACGACATGGCACTTTAAAAAGTACACTTTTCTATGGACCCAGTGGATGCCAACATGAATTACATTGAAAAACACTTTTCAGTGGACCCAGTGGATGCCAAATGAGTAACATTGAAAAACACTTTTCAGTGGACATGGTGGACCCATGTGGATGCCAACATGAGTAACATTGAAAAACACTTTTCAGTGGACCCATGTGGATGCCAATGTGAGTGATGTAGAAAAACACTTTTCAGTGGACCCATGTGGATGCCAAACGAGTAACATTGAAAAACACTTTTCATTGGACCCATGTGGATGCCAACATGAGTAACGTAGGAAAAACACTTTCCTGTGGACCCAGTGGATGCCAACTTGAGTAACGATTGAAAAATACATATGTAAACGAAGTGTGCTGTCATTAGAACAAAAGTTTATTACATTGCATGTTTGCTGTTGATACACATTACATGAAGTAGCATTATATCACCGCTGAAAACCATGAAATCAGGCTGGCAGAAATTGCATGTACGGTATGTCAGCCACAAGCAGTCCACTCAGACTTTGAGATTTGGTTCCTCACTTCCTACACCATCAACAACATCTACATGTAGCATGGAAGAGACTTATTCTAGGATCCCTCTTCCCCATTGTCATGGGAAAATCCTATTGCGCAGTAGCTTCTCTTGGTCGGAAAAAGTTGATAAGTCACAAAAGCATAGAAAAGGTCCACTGTCAAGGCTGTGCATAGGAATTTTTGGCCGGGAAAAACCTGGATTTGTCTTGGATTTGGACAAGTCTTGACTTTGTATTTATCTCAGTTTAATAAACTAATGCCACTGCACAGATATGTCTCCACGAGCACAAAACTCGCAGAGTGGAATGAGAAAGTTACGACATCTGAAGTGTAAGTAGGGATAGCTATCATAGACCACAGCATGAAGGTCATCAAATCAGCACAGTTATGCAGTCATTGCTTGGGGATGTCATCTTACACATGTACATTTAGCTTCCCAAAATCATCTCTTGCATTGCAAATTGCCTTTATGTTATGAACTTGTGTTTCTTTTGGTCACAGGTTACATTTCTGGTACAAAGCTGATTGGATAAAAGGTTTCTTGAGCTGCATGCTTCTGATAAAATGTGGTTTGCATAAGGAGTGTGCTGTCGCTGAGACTCTATCAGAGTATCCAACATGTTTGAAACTTTGTGAAATTGACAGACGTTGTGTTGACAGTTTTTGAAGGGGATGCTGCTCTCTGACTTTCAGCATGTTCAGTGCATTGTGTGCATGCACAAAACATGTCTTCTTCAATTTCAAGCAATGAGATAGTTCCATTAAATTGACTTGAATGCATTCCTTCGACATGCTAGATCTGACCATAATCTTCTAATGCCCCACCCTTTTCCACTCCCCTCATCACACTGGTAAATGAGCCAGGATCATCCTCAATTTTCTATTCACCCTCTATTTGCAGTTTACATGTGTATGATGCATATTGAATTTTCCAATTAACCATGCATACTCTTACTAATCTTAACTCTATCTAGCTTTAAACAAAATCCTGCTGAAATCGAAGAAATGTAGCAAACTGCAGCAGTGGGGTTTTGTTAAATTGTGCATTGTGCGGTACACGTACAACATGTACATGTACACGTACAATGCACATGCACAGTATGTACTCAGTGATCATCTGCCTCAGCATTCTGACACTATGCAATCACTCAGAGTTACGGTACCTGCAACTTTCAGGCAAAGTTGAATGTAAAATTCATGAATATAAATGTACCAGGACATGTATAGCCCATAATGTCATCTGTTCGGTTTTATGAGACTTGTACATGTATGCATGGTGGATATGAACAAAATATAGAAGGTTTACATTAACATGATGGAAGCTACTCCTTTTTTTGGGGGGGGTTGTTTTGTTTGGTTCTGAGAGATATGTCCTGATGATAACAAAGCACAGTGTTTGAAACATTACATTGAAGCAACTGGTACTTCTCAGCTCCACAAAACTCAAACAAAACAAAGATTAGCTACTGTGATGTTTCTGCAAACCTTGCAGAGTACAAAGTTGGGTTCTGTTGCATATACCCGGGTGAGGACTTAAATGAGCAACTGTAGTTCATTAACGCATCCAAACTAACCCATTTGATTAACACTGCAACAAACTGACCTTAATAGAATGCAGTGCCTTCATGTACATGTAGTTAGCAGGTGCATTTCTAACAGCATTTTTCCCCATGCACCGAAGCAACGTACCGGTACATGTACCCTGTACGTGTATAATTTGCAATCCACTACCTACTTCTTTGAAATTGAGGACAAAGACAAAAATAAGACTTCACTTGAGGTTCATTAATGAATGTACATGTACGGTACTTTTGGTCCGAGGGTACTGATGATTCATCAGTTTTCATTTGTGGGGAAAAACTGTTACCTGTACTTAATATCTAAAAAAATAAAACCGAAGATGAAATTTCTGCTCGGTGAACAGCACAGACCGTATTTGCGAGAAAAGCAATATTCTAGGATTTCAATTTGATTCATGTTTTGAATTGCACCTGAATGAGACATTAGTGTCAAATATGTTCTGACATGCAGTCACATGTAGACAAATTTTAGGAATCACGTGCGAACACAATGTATGTTTGTGGAGTCAACTCTTGTGCACACCTCTAATGGCAGTTTTCCACAAATGAATCTTCTATGCATCATTGGAATTTACCCTCTTTCATTTTTTTTCTTCAAACTGACCGCGTACCAGAAAGAATAATCTCACAGGGAGTTTAGCCACCGGACCATCTTTATACATATACCAAGTATGCTTTTCAACAATAATTCCATCAGTTACTTTCTGAATAACTGCCATTGATGGACTGTACCTTTCATGTTGACTTGTAAATTGATTTATCTTTCCTGCAAAGGTAATAAACAGTATTACTGTTAAGCTTTTAGTTCTTACACTCTTCTCTACTGCAGCCCAAATAAATCCTCATATTTCAGTGCGTAGCTGGATGCCTTTTCCTTCAAAGAAATTGTTTTTCTAAAGCTCTTACTCTTTGTATGCCTTACAGAAAAGTGTAAACGGAAACTAACTGATTGAAAATGACTCAGACGGCACATACATGTACAAAGCATTTACATGAAGTAAAATGCATTCAGCTACATTTGCATGTACCGGTAGTTCTCAATGTCTCAATTTTTTTGATGATTTGGGACACAGGTTCAACAAGACAAAGTCGGGACTTGCCACTGCAGGACAGAAGACCACCTCAGCGTTTAACACCTTAGGCTCGGCTGTTTCTAAGAAGCTTGGAGATATGAGAGAATCCAACACCTTCAAATCATTTGAGGAAAAGGTGTCGTCTGCGACAAACACAATCAAGGTAGGAGCTGTTCATTTCTCTGCCAACGTGGCTGTCTACGTGTATGTAATACCGTAATGCAGGCAACAGTTCCAGTCTCAAACCCTCCCAGATCGTCTAAAGCCCTCCAGGAGAATTTGGCAGGTCTGAGGAAGGTACAACCCAGCCAATGTAACTTGCGGGGCTTGGCACGTCTCAGACTGTGCCATTAATTCTTGCAGCATGTTTAAGGTGCGATTTAGGATGGTTCCAAGTAGAGGTGTGCACTACAGGAGTGAACTGGGTTGAACTGGATATTCCAAGTTGTCAAGGCAGTTTCCAACAAGCTTATAAAGACCTGGGATTGTTGGTCAGGTCTAGTCAGCAGGGGTGATAGAGTGATTAATGCAGTATCCAGTGATTAGGCCTGACGGATATGCTCTTTCAGTAAATCCTAAATAATCATACCTGATCAAGTCATGTATTTTGAATTGTTCAACTCTCAACAGACCAAGGTAACGGGAAGCAAGACGCAAGAATCCAGCTTTGAAGAGGTTCTCCAGAGCACAGCCAGTGCAGAGCAGCAGCAGGATTCCCACACCAAGACAGCCCTGCTCCCGGAGGAGAAGGTTCCCTTGTAGGCTCTGATCATCACCGCTCTGTGTCTGTCTGTCAAAGCAGTTTGTCTGTCTGTCAGCTTCAGCCTAGATACTTAAAAAAAAAACCTGTCTGAGCTGATATTAAGAATGGAATTGTGGAGAGGAGGCTTGGGGTAGGGCCAGTGAGAGAAAGGGGGATTTTTGTTGGGGTTGTCAAAGAGCATGGGGATTGGTTATACACCTTCAGAGCCCACATTCAGGATATCCTAGGTTGTGTCACACACCTTCTGGTCCAGCAGCCAGGATATCCCTAGTTGTGTCAGGCATCTTCAGATCCTGTGCCGAGGATATCCCAGGTTGTCACACACCTTCAGATCTTACACTCAAAATATCCCAGTTTGTGACACACCTTCAGATCTTGCACCCAGGATATCCCAGTTCATGACACACCTTCAGATCCTGTACCCAGAATATCCCAGGTTGTGTCACACACCTTCAGATCCTGTACCCAGAATATCCCAATTCGTCAGTTTTTGACACGCCTTCAGATCCTGTACTCAGAATATCCCAGGTTGTG